CGGGTTTATAGCAAAGGTTGGATCATGTTCGATCTTAGAGGCAGAATACTGGAGAGCATATTATGGACTGAAGATCGCTTGGTAGTTAGAGTTTAAAAAAATTCAATTGCAGATGGATAGCCTGAATGCAGTGAAGATGCTAGCAGAGGAGGACTCTTCTTTTGTCTCTAGTAATGTACTACTTAGAATTAGGCTCTTACTTAAATATCACTGGCAGGTAGAAATTGCTCATATTAAAAGGGACGCCAATGAGGTTGCTGACTCCCTGGCAAAGTTGGGCTTATCGAGTAATCCGGGATTAAAAATCCTGTCAGATCCTCCCAGTATAGTGCTAGACACACTATCTTTTGATTGTCCGCCTCCAACTAGAGGCGACGAATTTTTGTACTAAGCATAAACTTCCACAGTATATATATATATATATATATATATATATATATATATATATATATATATATATATATATATTCTCTCCCATTGTTTTAGCCCGTAGTATATGATTTCATCCTCTCATTTAATACATCGCACCCCAAGTAACTTTCCAATCTTAACGTTCTAACCTTTTATTTCTTACACCAATTTCAAACATCAGTCTATCACCTTCTTCAGTCTTCATCCTATTTCTGTAGGTTATGTTTCTTGAATTGAAATCTCTCTCTCCCAAAATAATTATCCTGTTCAAATTTATTTTTAATACAAATTGTATTAAAAATAAAAATGTAGTGCGAATAAGAAAAATAATAAGAGAAAGGGAGAGTGAGGTTGGATTAAAAAAAAACAATTGGGTCACGGCTTGGAAAAAAGTTGGGTTTGTTGGGCCCAATAAGGCCACCTTGGTTGGTAACTCATGATTTGACTTATCAATACCATTTTACAGTTTCTGTGTGACGACCGTCGTTTATGGTCATTATATATCCTATTAAAGCAGAAAAAATTATTGGGTGCAGTTGTTGTATTTTAGTTTTTAGTGCAGTAAGTACTAGCACCTCCCTATTTTGGTGATATAACTTTCATAGAAATTATCTCTCTCCCCTAAAATTACTATTTTACCCTCTTATTGTATGTGCCTGCACAATCCTACATGATAATTTGTAGGAAAATAAAATGTGTAGTAAAAATAAATAGTGAAATAGAATAGTGATGTGGCACTTTTGAAAATTATTCTTAATTTTGTGAATAGTTATTAGAAGAGTGGTGTGGTGTTTCACGAGACCCTATCTGATTACACTACATGTAATCACCGCCTGTATCATTGCTCCAATTTATATAATTATACAGATAAACTAATTGTCTGAGTATGTAACTCAACTTTGATTGTGTTAGTACGTTTGAGTAAAAGAAAAAGACTCCACTCCATGTTGAGTGTAGTTTTGAGAATATATTTCCACACGGGATGAGATAGAAATTTTTTTAACAGTTCGGTGACTCCTATTTTGAACATAGGATTATAAGTACATTGGTCAGAAAAACAAACACTTTACATGCATATTTTAAGACATAAACAAAAGATGCAATTTATATTATGAATAGCAAAATCAACCTTAGCCTTTTGACTGTAAGAGTTATGCTTAAACAAGCGATGGCGTAAATCAAAGCAATAAGAAAAACATTCAAATGAATAATGGAATAGGCATTGCATACAGTGTCTTTAAAGTAAAAAAAAAGGGCAAGCTTAGCACCCCTGAAATTGAACTCCTTTGCTTGACCTTTATTCACCAAGGCAAATTAAACCGAGTCTATAATTCAAATCGAAAGAAGGTACAAAGACAGTTAAATTTTGCTCCCAAATTTTATATTCAATAGTAGCGAGAAAGTTTTGCTGGCAAATGGAAATCAATCCACGTAGCTCAAAGAGACGATTAAAGGACAGTGAATAATTTACCTAACCCGTCACCTGAGAAATAGAGGAAGCATGAACAAAAAACAAAAAAAAACCACCTCATTGAATCAGTTAGGGATACGTGGACAAAAGACACAAGCAACTGACATATGACCATGCCAGTTGATCCTTAGTTATATGTAGATTTTGTTTAAGTTTAATTTAATCTTAATACTGCTTTTATTTGTGTTTGGTGGTTATCGGACTGGTTAAAGAATACGATTCGAGTTAATTAGCAACCTCATTGCTCACCCATTTCTAATTTCCCCCATTTATAGATAGCTTCTGCAAAGGGCTTTTGGATACTTGGATTGTGATTGATGACCAATAAATAACCTTATAATAGTTCTGTGTAATTTTTGCTTTTGTAGTAAATGTGGTGAATATCGAAGTAGAAGTATGTAGTAAGTGGATCAAATTAAACAGTTCGAAGATAAATTTTTCTTGTTCTATTTCTTTTTTTTTTTTTTTGCTTAAGTTTAGGTCCAAATCTCAAAAATAACAAATATCAAAATATTTTTTAAATGGTCTACGTAGCATTGCAAGGAGTTTATTATCATTTCCAAATCTATTGCTGCCTGCCAATAAAGTGTTTTTTTTCTTTTTTTTGGTTAGGGGAAGAGGGAGTATATATAATAAATACATTGGATAAGATTTTTTTTTTTTGAGGCACATAAGTCTTGTATATAAAATGGCGTAGCTTAATTTCATTGATACTGTCACTAGGCATGTCCACGGTTCCGGTTCTAACCGAAACCTAACCGACAGTTACATATGAAACCGTAATTGACGGTTTTAAGAACCATCACCACCCGAGAACCGACAATTTTAACCGGTGGTTCTAACCGTATTAAACTGTATTTTAATATTAATTTTATAAAAAAATTAAAAATTGTACATATCTCATGTCTAATTCTGTACACAATGATTAAATTATTTTTAAGAAAAAGAATAAGTTGATCCAAAGATAAGAAATAGTGTCATTGGTAATTGTCTAATTGTTACTACATTGTAGGTTAACAAGTGTTTCCTAAAAGATCTTTTGTACATTTGTAATTTAATTTAATTCTTTACGTTCTAAAAGATTTTTCATTTAAAAAAGTGTCTAAATAATTTAAAATTATAAAAGTCTTCATAAAATTGCATGAAAACCGACACCAAATAAAATTTAAATGAAAATCTAAACTTTTGGTTTCAAAACTCAACATAAAACTCAAATAAAAAACTGTCTCATGTTAGAACCGAAACCGAATCGTAATCAATCCGAAACCTGCGGTTCCAAAACTAGAACCGGAACTACAGTCTCAAGGTTCGGTTTTGGTCCCCATCATTTAGAACCGCCGATTCCAGAACCGAAACCGCCGGTTCTGGAACCGTGGACGTGCCTAACTACCACAATTTGAAAATACTGGGCAGTGTAAATGAGAAACACTATGTTAACTTTAATTTGAACTAGATGTTAAACCCGCACGATGTGCGGGATTTATTCATATACATTTATAAAAAAATATTTAAATATTCAATTCGATAAATACAAATAAAATTATTAGTTTGTAATAAAAAATCTTATCATAAATATTTAGAAAAAGAGGATCGCATCTATGACTAGTAACTTATAGTGAAATAAGATAATAACTCGTGAAAAGACGAAAACACCCGACTAAATTCAACACTATTTTAGTTAAATTCAAATTGAACTAAGCTTAATTCTTTGTTGGTTTTTCTTTAAAATATGAGGATGGCTTGAAAGTTTTTGTGATGATTGCTGAATGTTTGTGAGGTTATTGAAATGGTGAAGTATGCTATCATTTATAGGTTTTTTTAGGATTTTTTTTCCGAATTATTTAGATTCTTGGAAAGTCATGTAGAAATTTGGATTGATTTTATTTTTAAATGATTAAATAATTTTTTATTATTATTTAAGAATGCAATTTTTTTTGAATTAATTAGGTTAGAATAAATCATGAATGTAGCCATGATTTGGCCTTTAGTTCATGTATTAAAGAAAAATATTGTTACCAAATTAAAGTGATTTTTCTTTTTAAAAAATGAGAGCATTTAATACTAAAATTAATTAATTTACATAATATGGTAATTGGGGTGGTTTGATATTATTGACATACTTCAAGGATTATTAGTATAAATTCAGAAACTATTTTTTCCCAAAATTTTAAGAAATTGACATGTAGGATTTTTGCTTACATGGCACTCTAGAAACATGTCTTTGTTTTCTCTCTCTGGTTTCTCTCTTAGTATAATATATATATAGTATAGATACTTTCTTGAAAGTAGTACAAAATAATATGCAAACAAGTAAAAAAAAAGAGAAAAAAATAATACTAACAATAGTATCATATAACATGGAAACAAATGATCCCTAAATTCAATGTTGTCCTTATCTAGATCTTACACAATCATCAATCAAACAACATTAAAATTCATTTATAAACTACCAAAGTTTGATACATATAGATCCATTCCCTCAAAAGAAAAAGTTTAACATCCCAAATTCAGGAGTTGTCCGCCACTCGTAGTAAATTACATCCGGACAATCCAGACGCTCAGACAAAGCAGCTCCATTTCTTCGGAATTTGTCTCCAAAAATAACAAAAATTCTTTCCTTTGTTTTTGTGTTTGCATGGTTTCCGGAGATAAAATATAGTAAGAAAATCTTACACTTTGAATTTGGGATTTTATTTCATGGCTCCGGTTCATCAACGTCTAATTATATGCTGTATATATAGTTCTCTATTTTTTGATACCAAGAAATAAGAAAATAAAAATATCCATCTCCTTAATCCACACACTTTATCAATAAAACAAAGGCAATAATATTACAATTTATTCCCATCAAAACAAAAAGACCTTCACAAATTAAGAAAATATCAAAAAGGATTTTTTTTTTTATAAAAAAAAAACTAGGAAGAACAAACTAAAACATTCCTACCCCCTAACTATTTAAGCCGCTATGGAGCTAGCTAGCCTAATTGGTTTCCTAAACAAAGCATGCAACATGGCCCCAGTCGATCTGTTTTCTCCACTCCACGTCCATTTCAAAATCAGAATGGTGTATGTTTGTTGTACTAAGACATTATAATAGTTACTTTCTTATCATTATTATTTATTTTGGGACGACGAAACTTTGAACTAGCCTGAGGGTGTCAATGAAGTAATTTCCCTCGGAGATATCATTTCTCGAAATGAAATTGAGAAAATCATTAAAGGTACTCTCTTTATAACCCTTGGGACGTTTTTCATCATCAACAAGCTCTTCCGCAACCTCCACCTTCTCATCCAATGCAGAGCTATGAAGACTAGCAATGGATATTCTAGTAAAATTATTACTCAAAATCTTCACCCTATGAACCACGCTTTTATATACCCCATTGCTCATCACCTCAACACAATCACCAATATTCACTACTAAAGCACCCTTAACGTACGAAACATCCCTCCAAATCCCGTCGGAATCTTGAATTTGTAGGCCTCGCGAGCCTTGGAGGACGATGCTCAGGCAAGAGCAGTCGGAATGCGGTGGAAGTCCGAGCTCGAGATCCGGCTGCGCGGCCGCGGGATTGGGCGGATAGCTGTTGACCATTATGGCTTGGACTCCTTTGACCATTTTATCGGATTTGTATTCAGGGCCAAGACCTAGTCCTTCAGTTATGATTCCCATGAGTGATACTCCCAACTTTTGTGTAGCCTTTGCATATTCACTCATCTTTTCCCTGCGATAAAACACATTTAAAATATCATTCTGTGAAATATATTTCTTTCATTCCAAAAAAGTCTACTTTATTGAACGAAGACAGCATAAACATAGTTGACTATTCTTGCTTGTGCAGTTCAGCTAGCTTAGAATTAAGGGCATGTCAATTGTATTGGGCAAAATATGGATGTATTCGTAATAGTAAAACAAGTATGAACAACTGTTTTTTTTAATACAACGGAAAAATGTAAAAATTACTAACCACTAAACAGTTTGTTTCCAACAAATCGTTCACTTCATTCATTTTGAAGATTAACGCCTTTATATTTCTGTAATAGATATATTTATGTAACTTTATATTTTTACAACTCTAAGTTTTATTAAATTTTACGAAAACAAGTGACGTTCACTTAAAACTAGTGCTTAGTATTGACCCCCAGTTTCCAGATAGATTGTAAACATCAGTCCCTCAACTTCAGTGCATTTTGTATGTACATGAGGACTTCTTAGAATTCAGTAAAAGATATTGATCGAGAAAACGATAAAGTACAAATGGTTTTTTTTAAAAAAAAAAAACTCTAAATAAATTAATGATCTTTTTTGAGGTTATAAACAGTGATGCGTGGCTTATTTATTTAGAATAGACAAAAAGTCATGCGTTTGGTTTTTGAGTTTTTTTTTTCCAACAAAAGAAAAAGAAATGTACTCCAGCACTACTTAGTCCAGTTACAAAACATGTACTATAGTTTTTAAAACTAAAAGTTCATCATGATAAACAATAATAATCTTTTCGTTGTATTTTAATAGTTTACTTTATCATACCACTTATTTGAGTAAATAATTAAAAAAAAAAACATCTGAAACGAACGAGAGGCAGTAAAAAACTTCTACATATGTTATGAATCAAAACAAGTGATAAATTCAGTGAAAACACATAATTAAACATACGATAATGACTAATGTGACAATACACAAAAAGCACTCCTATTTTAATTTAGAAGCCATCAAAAGTACTCCCTCACTTCCAAAATTAGTGTCCAGTTTGAGCTTTTACCTTTAATTCAATTTGTACTAAAAATGAAAATCTAAACTTGATAATAATTTTAGGACTGAGGGAGTATTAATATATATATTGGTGATTTTATAAGTTCAAGTTCTGCAGTCATATTCTTGTATTGCTTTTCTTACATCGGTATGAATTTTTCTCCGAATGTATCATCAGTCATAAGTAAATACATAAAACACTTGACAAAGAAAAATTTTTACGGTAAGTAGTAAAGTATATGTATACTACTTGTGAGTTGAAACCAGCAAGATCCTAGCACACAATAAAAGTACATAAAACAGTATACATATATAAAACGTGGTATACCTGTAGTCATGAGGGTTATCAGGCCAGAGAGCAATGTACTTATCCAGTGGATTCGCGTAGTGTTTGAGAACAACTCTCCTATATTTGGCATTATCTTTTAGGCTAGTTCCATATCGAACCGGACTTTTGACGTCATCTGACCTGTATTTCATCTTCTCATTGGTCGGCAGCTCGAAGAAACTTGATGCCGTTGAAAGAGCTCCATCCAAAACTTTTTGGGGTATTCCATGGTTGACAATCTTCCAAAAAAAGACAGAGGAAGGGAAAAAAAAAATAGGAAGAAGTTAGAGCTTGGCCTTTTTTTTTTGGGGGTGGATTATGAGAAAAAAATTGAGTTGTATCTTGATTGAGTTTACTAAATTCAAAAAATGTTATACATTTCTGAATTGGACTATTTTTGTGGGACGGGAGAAATATTAATCTGAGCATCTTTCTTTAAGTTTGACTGTGTACAAATTCAGGTGAAGTGGTTATGTGAATACACTCATCACGGTAGAATGATCAAAAAGTGTCACGGTGTAAAAAAGAATTATTGCCAAACATGTTAAAGAAGTCAAACTTGAATCGAAGGTAATATTTCAACTGGTTAAAAAAAAAGGGGGAAAAAAAGAACAGAATAATATGCATATTGATAGTGTATAATCAAGAACCAAGTACCTGGAAGAAACCGTAAGTTTTACAAGCATTTGCAATGTCTTCAACGATGATAGTTCGTCGAGATTGATGGTTTATGCCATCTATTTCTATGACTGGAAGATCGACCATTTCAGTATAACAACGGGGAACGAGTTGGAAGTAGTCTTCTTTATTTTGTGGAGTTTGGTCCATTTTGAAGTCCTCTAACAAATTGTGAAAATTACAGGCATCGTGTTTTTGGGTATTTATAGAAGAAATGCAAGCAATTGAGCAAGTACAAACAGTTTGTTTTTAAACGGTTGTATTAATAACACGTGCGTAAGTTCAAGTGATTTTGTAAGCAGAGATTTTGGCACATTGTTGAGTAGGAATGTTTTCGAGTTCGGATTTAATGAATAAGGAAAATAACGTCAAAACTCTTACTCATATCGCATGAGAATTTCATTTTCGCAATGAAAATATATATTGACACAAGAGTTTCGGTACGTCGAATGAGGAATATGGTGCTAAAATTTCTTTTTGTACACTCATGATTCATGCATGCAAAACTTCTAGAATGTCAAATTCCAATGAAACAAAAGATTAAAAATCACCACTATCTCTATTTTATACTTTCTTTGCCTTGTGTTACAAATCTTAAAAACTCAATGCCAACTTTGTTTTAGGATAGAAGTACTACATTTGAATATATAAAGAAAATTTTTGGTAAAATAAATGAGGAAAAAGCCTAATGACACTCAATAAAAGTGAAATATAAAATATTATTACACTCAATTAATTACCCCTTCGTCTTGAAATGATTCTCTAATTTAGATTTTTATTTTTAGTAATAAACATGAAAAATGAAGTTGGATAATAATTATAAAAAAGATGGAGTATAACAAAGTATAAGACATACTCCAAATCTAAAAAAAAAGAAGAAAAATTCCATCTTAAATTTTAAGATTTGTATTATTTTTAATACAAATATCAAAATTTAATATGCATTTTAAGACAGAATGAGTAAAATGTAAATAACAGTCCAATCACGCGCGTTCGTGTATATTCCAAGTCCATTCGTGGCGTGCAAGATATGCACATGTGGATGGCTGCAAGCTAATAAGCCTAATATGCTAGCTGGAGTGGCTGAGCATATGAATGACGTATTTATACATACGTATATGACATTCACGTTAAAATGTGGACAGAGGCAGAAATATTTTAAAAATTTGTATATGAGCCATCAAGCAGTTGGGACAATATCTAAAGTTATCAGGTTACTTTAACTATTTAGCTAAAAGTTAAAAATCTTATCTAACAAGTAGTTGGTCCAGATAGTAAAAGTTTTGGACCAACTTAACTTAATTCGGTTTCAAATTCAGACGTGAATATGCAGTATTGATTAAAATAATTATTTTACTCGACTAAAATTCAAATTAATCGAAACAATAATCTCGGATACCCCGTAAAACAATAACCATTTTAAGTACATAATTATTTTTTTCTCATTAAAGAATAGAACCGAATTCCAAAGTACATAATATTAGAGACCATCTTGAGTGTACCCGGAACCACCATGGTTCCCTTCTTATTTTTTGGATTATTAGTCATTATTGTGCTTATTCTAAATAACTTCCTATCATTTGTAAATTTAATCCATGTTACTTTTTTTCTCTTTCCTCTAAAAAAATAACTCTGATCTTTAAATGAATATAACTTATGATCCGTGAAAAATTTGTGAACGAATTATATATAAAATTTATAGTACTCGTTAAGATCTATCCAACGAGATCCATATAGAATTTTTTTCGGACTAAAAATGATTAAATTCTGATGGGCAAAAATAAGGTGGATAGCTAGTTTAAAAATATGGATAACCAACTTATTTTATATGGATATTCTTATATTGCACATATCTCATGATCCGTGAAGAATTTTTAAAGGACATGAAAATTATAGTAGTCGACGTGATCTATTTAATAAGGTCCATATCGAATATTTTTTCAAACTTTAAACGCATTTAAATTTTATGGCAGAAATGAAGGAATATGTCACTTATCTATTGCGTTCATACTGATTATCCAACTGGTTTAAGCAGATTATCTATTTTTTTTGTACTGCTTATACATTCATTTTTATTTTAGAAAATAGTTGTATTCGTGGTGATTATCCAACAGCTTGGTATTGGTTATCCAGTCATTTTTTTTTCTTTTTTTCTTTTAATGAAAATCTTTGTCTAATTTTTTTTACTAATTATCCAATCATTTTGTATTACTTATCCAATCATTTTTACTGATTTTCCAAATAGATTGTCCAATCATATTTTTTTTCCTTTTTTTTTCCTTAGAGAAAATAGTTGTACAATATGTTTATAGTAATTATCCAAATACTTGACAGTGCTTATCCAACTATTTTTTAATTTCATTCTTTATGAAAATACTTGTTTAATATATTTCTACTGATTATCCAACTGATTGGTACCGTTTATCCAACATAGTTTTTCTTTTTCTTTTTCGAAAAAATGAATGTCCAACGTGTTCATAGTGATTATCCAACTGATTGGTACTGCTTATCCAACCATTTTTTCTTTTCTTTTTTATAAAAATCCTAGTCCAATTTTTTGTACTGACTATTTAACCGTTTTGTATTGGTTATCCAATCATTTTTACAGTTTATACAAACATGGTTTGTAATGTGTCTAATGTTTTTTTTTCCTTTTTCTTTTGAGAAAATATTTGTTTAATATGTTCATATTGATTATCCAACTTCTTTGTAATCGTTATCCAACCTTTGTTTTCCTTTTTTTTATAAAAAATTATCCAATTTTTTTTATACTGATTATCCAACCAATTTGTGCTACTTATCCAATTACTTTTACTGCTTGTCCAATGTGTTTATACTGATTATCCAATCGTTTTGTATTGGTTGTCTAATTGTTTTTACTGATTGTCCAAATAAGTTTGTAATACTTGTCTAATCATTTTTGAATTATCAACAATAAATACCCTCACCCCTTAATAACATGATTGGATTTTCAGAAATCTAATCCAATTTAATTACCAATTTTTTTTCTTTATTTTTTTTGTGAAAATCCTTATCCGGCCTTTTGTACTGACTATCCAACCTTTTTGCATTGGTTATCCAACCCGTGTTCTCTGTTTATCCAAACAGGTTTTGTACTGTTTGTCTAATCATTTTTTTTTTGAAAAATGGTTGTCCAATGTTTTCATATCGATTATCCAGCCGACCGGTTTCTTATGCTTCTCCAAAAAAAATTTTAAATATTTTTCTTAGATAGCCTTGTCCGTATTTTTTACATTGATTACCCAACCGGTTTGTCCTGCTTATCTAATCATTTTTACCGCAAATCGTGGTGGCTATTCATTGCTTTTGTAGTGTTTATCCAACGTCTCTGAATATACATATTTCCATAAGAAAAAAATATGAGAGTGAATTTGAATCAGGCCGCCTATCCATCGATTTCCTAGTGCTGATCTAACGTCTTTGTATTGACTATCCAACACAAATACTTTCTTCATTTCTTTCTGGAGTTTTTTTTTCTTTTTTGAAATTAATATTCAATATTGATCATATCGGATAAATCTCGTCGAGTACTATAAATTTTATGAATAATCTGTTTTTTAATTATTCACGGATCAAGAGATATAAGGAACATAACAATATAAATGTAAAATAAGTTGGTTATCCATCTTCTTAAACTAGATATCCATCCAAATAACGTACAAATTTCCTTCATTTCTGCCTATCAAAATTTAGTCATTTTTAAGTTCAAAAAAAATATTCGATATGAATCTTATTGGATAGATCTCGATGAGTACTATGAATTTCATATATATAATCCATTTTCTAATTCTTCACGGATTGAGAGATATGCTGATTTGAAAATTAGAGATATTTTATGAGGAAAGAGGAAAAAAAAAAGTGACAGGGACTAAATTTGCAAAACAAAAGAAGTTTGAGAAAAAGTACAATAAAGATCATATGTGCAAAAAACATGAGGGGGATCATGATGGTTCGGGGTGCACCCAAGAATTTGCCATAATATTACCTTTGTTTCCAAAAAATGAGTCATATTGAATTTTGATATTTGTACTAAAAATAGTACAAAATTCTATGTGAACTGTATATTAATATATTATTTTTCTTTCTTTCTTTTTTTTCGGTAATCCCACCATATCTTTGACAAGCTTGTGCAATCCAATTTCCAATCTCTTTACAACAAAATTTTGTTCATAATCAAAACTAAATCTTTTTTTAAAAAAATTACGATAAACAAAACCAGAAAATGGATCTTATTTTATAGCATCTAATAATATCTACATGTACATATAATGAGGGAATGTCACATTTTTGTACGTTTCTTGCAAGTTCCAGGTCATATTTGGCCACGTGGCGGCTTTGGATCGGATCTCTTCTTCCTAGGTACCATTCATATTCGCTGCATATAATGATTATTCATGACTTTGGGTTTGACATGGTATTGTAATTTCAAAAAGAGGATATAGAGAGAGGGGCAAAGTATTCATTGGAGCTTATCAGCTTAAGTTACAAATTGTATTACTTCTCTGTCCCAAAAAAATAGTCTGATAAATTTAATTTTAAAAATTCAATGTAAATTATTTTTGTGGGACACTGGGAGCAATACTATTTATTATATCCTTAATTTGTGATTTTTGCAATATATTTTGAGTACAAATATGCTATTTATGTGATTTTATCTTTAATTGTAGGAATTGTACTCAAATGAAGAATTGTTGAAGTTTTGAGCTAAAATCGAATTAAAAACAACTCAATGGGAAAGAATTGAAGATTGGAGCAATTGATGGGGAAGAAATTAATGAGTTTAAAGAATTGGAGGGCCAATGATGCAATTTTGGAATGTTTTAGTTTTTGGAAATTGGCCAAACAAACAATGATGATGCGGCTGATTTGGGATTGGAATTGGATAAGAATTTTAATCCTGATATTATTTGGGAAACAAGTTTTCTTGCTTTTCAAGAAGTAGGGTTTAACCGGAAGCCTATAAAAGGAGGATTAGGGATTTATTTTAATAACAGAATTGGACCGCAAACTGACCGAAAACCCAAACCCGAATTACATCTTCTCCGCCGAACCACCGAACCTTCACCTCCACCGGAGCTCCCCTTCTTCTCCTCCACGCAGCCCTTCTTCACCTTTGCGCAGCCACCATC